GGCGCGGGCACCCTTAACCAGCCGCACAGGTGAGCGTGGCGACCGCTGGATGACAGCCCCCTCCTCAAGTCGGGCTGCACGCTGGAATCACCGGCGAGGGGTTTGGGTTCGGGCTTTTTTAATCCGCACGCCAGGGCACCGATTCCAAAACTCAGACTCAGTCTGGCTTGGGGCCTGAACTTCGGAAAATATGCGTGTGTGTGTGGGTATACATGTAGGAAAATACACATATACACGCTTACCCAGAAAATTTTGATGAATACGCACACCATCTTTTTTCAAAAATGCATTTTGAAATAAATGGAGGTTGCCGAGAAAGTCACAAGAACAGTAACAAAAGGCTCCGGTATCTCCTTTTAGATTCTCAACTTTTTCTCACATTTGCCCCACCCTGTTTCTCTCTCTGAGTGCTCTCATTTTCATTATTCTTTTTCCATTCTATTTGAACTATTCTTCTAGACGATTTAAGTTGTAGACATGATGTCCCATCACCCCTAAATACTCCAGTGGGTATTTCCTTCTGAGCAAGGCCATTCTCTCACATAACCACAATTCCACCACTCAGACTAGGAAATCAGCATGGATACAGCATCACCAACCAGTCCACAGACCCCATCCAAGCTCCCCCAGCTGTCTTCATAATGCCTTTTTCCTTTTTGCTTGGGATCCAATCCAGGAGCATGCATTTTTGTTTTGTTATGCTCTCTCTACTCTCCATTCTGGAACAATTCCTCCATCGTGCCCTGTCTTCATGACCTTGACAGTTTAAAAGTGTAGGAGCCTTTCATTCTGTGGGACAGCCCTCAGCCTGGGTCTGTCAACTCTGCTCTTGTGTAGACCCGGGCTAGGCCTTCATGGGAGAGATGCTACAGAGGTGATGCTGGCTTTTTTCAACACATCACACCAGGAAGTACGTGACATTGGTCTGTGGTTAACACCACTTGTGATGGATGCTAACCTTGATCACCTGGTCAAGGTGGTGTTGTCTGTTTTCTTCCCCACAAGATAAATATTTTGTGAGGAGATGCTCCTTTGCGTCCATGGTTCACATCTGCCTGAATCACCACCATCCCGATTACAGTGAAATGATTAACAATCTACTGTGAGGAAGAGCTCTCCCTTGCCTCATTTATTTATTCGTTTTGTGTTTATGTCAGCATGGTATCGTGGTTTCTATTTTAGTCAGTAGGATGCAGTTCATTCACATCATGATGCTCAAATTGTCCCAGATTTGGCCTATGGGAGCCCCTCCAAGCTGACTCCTCTGTCCTGTTGCTGTGACCCCATCATTCTGTGTGCACTTTCTTTCTTGTGCCGAGAAGTCTCATCTTGAATTTCCCCAGGCCCTGCCCAGGAATCAGCCAATTCTCCTATTAATGGAAGATAGGATTTAGAAACCAAGATCTATGTACTTGATTGTTCAATCCTTTGGGGAGTCATTGCTTCTAAGTTCTTTTTGTAGATAAGAAATATGTGTATGTATGCACACATGCATACACGGTCATACAGCTATAGTCATACGTGTGTGTGTATGTATATATATCCCATGAGTTGGCACGAATCACTCCAATTTTAATCCAACACCTTAAGTTCCCTCTGGTTTTTCCTTTTTTTTTTTTTTTTACAACACCCTACACCAACAGTGAGAAACGTGACTCACACTATCTTCCATATGTTTACTTATGTGCTCAATCCCTGTACATAACCAGTTTCCTAACCATATCATCCACCTCCTTGGCCTCATCTCCTCCTCAGTTCCTGCCATGACACTTTCTCCAAGGGAAGTGCAAAATAAAGACGTTCCCTGAACATGGGCGTGGGAATGAGGTGGTATGATCTGTGCATCACATCTTCGATATGGATTGCATTGTTTACAAGAAGCATAGGTCACTTCTAGAATTAAAAATGTATTTTCCCCCAGGGTTGATGGCTTCCATCTGTAATCCCAGCACTTTGGGAGGCCCAGGCCAGAGGATCCCTTGCAGAAAAGGGACGCCTGTCTAATTTGCTGGTTGATGCAGATGCTGGGTCTCTGAGCCAAGGGTGCCAAAAGCAGGGTCAGGTTAAATGATCTTTTTCCAATTTCTGATCCAGCAGAGTTACTCTGTTTCAAGACGCAAGACAAGTGTTTACTTCAAATCCTGTTTCTCACTCCAGCTCCATGGGTATTATAGGTAGTTAGTAAACATTTTTCTGGCAGTTTCTGTTGCTGCTGTCAGTTTTGCTTTTTTCTGTGTCTTATTAGGTATTTTAGAGGGAAATGAGAGAACTGTTAGTCAAATGCCATTTTAAAGAGAAAGTGCCCCAAATGCAGGCTTTAAAAAACACATTTCTTCACTTAAAATTAAGAAGCTATTTCTCCACTTTGGGAGAGTTAGAAGGCATGCAGGAAGAGGTAACCCCTCACTTTTGCCTGGGTGAGATGATGACATGGGCTGGCACATGTTGAGGACTAACAAGTGTCACCATCATTGTCACTATTTCTCTTGCTAAATTAGCAGTTTCCCTCCATGCTTGTGGGCAGCTAAAGAAAAGTCAGAGCTGCTCTATTCAGGGACAAGCAGCAGATACTCCTGAATCCCTGCCCTGGAAGGGGGAGAGCTCAGGGGCTACCAGAAGTCACTCTGCATAGAGGCTTCTAGCAGAAGGCAAGGGAAATAGAATCCTGGTTTAGACACCTGGATTTTGAGAATTTGAATTTTGGTGACAATTTGGGACACTTTTGTTTGTTTTTCCCTTAGGCTGTTTACCTGTGCTATGTTTACAAATTCGCGCCTATTTACTTATGGACAATATTCCTAAAGCCAGGAGGGGAGTAACTGTGTTGAGCAGAGTGAAAAAACCCCAGGGTTTCCTCTTTTTTTTTTTTTAAACAATGCTTCCTTAACAAACTACCCTCCCCCTTGGGAATTCCCACCCCAGGTACCTTGCCTCACTTCCAGTCATTTGAGAAGGAGTTGAGGGTGATAAAGTGGGATGTCATTTCTGAAAATGGAGCTGTCCTTTTAGAGGCTTCTGCCACTGCTGGTGTCTAGCAGGGATGGCGCCTTGCAGCAGCAAAGGCCTCAGGCCATTGGCCCCAGTCAAGATCAGTGTTGGATCAGAAGCTCTTCTAGCTATTCCAGCAGATGACAAGGGATTTAATTCAGGGATCTAGGTGCTTACACAACCACTCAGAGGGACTCTGCTTTGAGAACACACCACCAAATGGTGGTCTGGGGATCAGGAAGCCGCTGTGGAGGCAGTTGTCACTTGACCCCACAGAGCTGGGGAAGGGGGCCTGGGACACTGTGGTGGAGAAATGCCATCTTCTTGCTTCCCATAGAAAATGGACAAAAGGACAGGAATGTGAGCTCTGCCTCGCTTCCACCATTGCAAGACCCCACCTCAGTTTTTCCACTAAATCATCTCAGTTGGCATCCAGAACCCTGGAACAAAGGATTCTGGGAAATAGAGCCTCTGCAGTGCAGAAAGGCATGAGGTTGAAGCAGCCATTCCACATTATCTTCTACCAGGAGACACAGAGAAATTGACCCTTGCTCCATCTTGTGTCCTAGGGGGTACCCAGGGCGTGAATCACCACCACCCTGATTATGGCCATATGGTTGACATTCTACCTTGAGGAAGAGCTTTCCCTTTCCTCATTCATTTATTCGTTTTGAATTTATGTCAGCATGGGCTCGTGGGTTTCCATTTTATTCAATAGGATGCAGCACCTCATTAGTCTTTCTGTTGATTACCCTGGGGCCCAGCTGAGAGGAACCACTCTTCTCCTGAGTTCACCATTCTGGACACCACACACGCTTCCTTTCTCTGCTTCATTCAGTCAAGATATGAGAGAGCTGCTAAAAGCAGTGTTAGTAAGGGAAGACTAAGAATGCATTTTTAAAAAGGTAGCTCATACCTGTAATCCCAGCTCTTTGGGAGGCCGAGGTGGGAGAATCACTTGAGCCCCTGAGTTTGAGACCAGCCTAGGTAACATAGTAAGACCTTATTTCTACAAAAAAAATTTTTTTAATTAGCCAGGTGTGGTGGTGCACACCTGTAGTCCCAGCTTTTCAGGGGGCTGAGGTGGAAAGATAGTCTGAGCCTGGGAAGTCGAGGTTGCAGTAAACCTTGATTGTACCACTGCACTCCATCCTAGATGGATCCCATTTTCAAAAAAAAAAAAAAAGGACTAAGACCTACAAAAAAACAAGTCTCTGTTGCCCAGAATTCCTATCCAAATCTAATCTATTTGGCAATTTCATATTATTCATATTCATATAAATTCATATTGTTATGACATACTCTTTTTGACTGTATTATTATTTTATCCCACTACATGCTGGGCATTGGACTTTCCTACCATTGTGCAGATGAGAAAATCCACAGTGTCAAATGACTGACCATGGGCACACTGCTGGTGGGTGGCAGAGTCAAGCCTGAAGCTCAGGTGTGCCGCCTCCCTGCAACTCTCTTTCCCCCAAGTCTGAGTGGCCCCTGTCCCAGGATCACTCAGCCCTAACCCTCACCCTAACCCATGTTTCCAGGTGAGCCAGTCCCGGCACAGAGGACCTGCTTGCTATGATGCATATTTCACTTCCCTTGGGGGGTCTTCTCTTCCTCCACCTCCGCTGAGCATGAGCTGTGGTTAATGTCTTGGTCACACCACCCCCAGGGTTAACAGAGGGTCAAAAGTGCCTCTCCACAAAAAATAAAGAAGACAGATGCAGAGGCTCTGCCTTTGGACTTTGGTCCCAGAAAACCTGCCGAAGTTCCCTTCTTCACAGATCTCCTCAGCTCAAGATCTTCTCATAGGTGCCACTGTGTTTCAGAGTCCCAACAAGACACAGAGAAACACCTGGCAGCCACCTGGAAGCTTAGAGCCCTGTGGACTACAGTGACCTCGCAGAAGAGCTGAGAATTAAGCAGGGCATGGGGGCTGCAGGCAGAGGGTCATGGTCAAGGCAGAAGAGCTTCTGCAGCACAGGGGTTTTTATGACCTTTGGGAAAGTCACTCAGATTCTCTGGGTCTTGTCTCCCATCTGTAAAGTGAGGATTCTATCAGAGCCTTTGTCAGAGATAAAGTGAGGAGTCAAGTAGGCCTTCAGCAAAACTGTCATTTGTACAGTGGGATCTGTGTTCCACGCACTAAACTCATCCTATGCGCTAACTTTGTTAATTCTCACAACAGCCCATGTGGGAGGTACTCTAGTTACTGTCGTTTCAAAGAAAAGGAAACTGAAACATGAAAGTCAAGTAACCAGCTTACCCAGTTAGAAAGGGGCAA